GGGGGGGGGGGGGGGGGGGGGGGGGGGGGGGGGGGGGGGTTATCCGCCTCCTCCAAAGCAAAATGTGGTTCCGCCAGGTTTTGGCGAGTCGCGGGATCCGAACACGAGCTATCTTCCATATGATCAGATAGTCAACGTCAAAAGACGGGATCGTCCTTGACGGACGTTGGGGAAATTAGATCACCGTCACCTCTACGTGAGTCAACTACAAAGAAGGTACACTCCACCGCGTCAGCAAAAGTGTCGTCTACAGGAAGGACATCTTCGCAAGCATAAGCCCCTGCACAATGGTCGCACATGAACCACCTTGTCCAGACAGGAGAAGCAAGGATGGCTGTCCCATCGTTGCCACTTGGGCGCAATACTCTTGGCCTCTTTTTTGCTCCACTAGGCGGTACGCGCGCGTGAGACTGAAACCTTACAATCAAGAGGCGTCCTCGCGGCAGGCGCGACCAAAGAACATCGATTTGCCAAGGTTGTATCAAATCAAATCCTGCTCGACGCCTCACCAGGGGGGTCAGACATATCTCGCGTCGACTCCGATCCGATAAATTCGACCCCAGCACCACCTTTCCAACCACAAGGATTCATTAAACGTGGGGGTATCTACTTCCAACCTCGCTCCCCCCTACGGCGCCACTGTTGCAGCTGTTCGAAGCCTCTTCAGTTGCGCAAATACCACCCGTTTTCCGCCCAACAATGGGAGGCAGGCGACTCGGGCGCTTGGATACCGCTCGCAATTCTAGCAGGACTGCACCAACATCCCTACTCCCAATCTCGTTCCCCCCCGTATGGTGCGGTTGTTGCAGCTGTTTGAAGTATCTTCAGTTGCGCAAATACCACCTCTTTTCCGCCCGACCATGGGAGGCCTGGCGACTCGGGCACTTGGATGGCGCTTCCAAACTCTTGCAAGACCGCACGAATATCCCTGGACGCCGACACCTTGTAGGGCGAAATCCGCGCCCCATTTTCCCACGGCAACGTGGCACAAAATCGTGAGCTCTATCGTGCTCAAGCAGCACATCATCGACGGCCCAGCAAAACTCCGACAAGGATGCCCAGACCCGCCACGGCCGCGCCTCCCGCGGCGACGTTCCTCACAGTCTCATCTTGGGATGTCGAAAGCAAGCAAGAGCAAGCAAGCGAGTGAATGGAAATTACTCGGTCAGAGAACGGAGCGTTCTTCGCCTTGCCTAGTGCATGTTTAACAAAAGTTGAGCAGCCGCCCAAATTTCGCTGCCTGGCCAAGGATGAGCCCCCCCCCCCCGGGCACTCCGGGTTCTTCACACCAAGGATTTGATTTTCCTGGTACTTTCCGCACACGCCTATGTATGTGCACACGCTTTACACCTAACTTGGGTTGAGAAGGACGTGTGCTGTATAGGGGGGGGGGGCGGTGCACAGTTGCCAGCGGTTGTGTCGTTCGCGTTTCTCCGACGCTTGCATTGCTTGCGCGACAGGAGGGATGGCATCGGTGGCACCATCCGACGGAATGTTCTCGGGGAACTCTCACGAAGACCACTCAAAACAAGCGCAACCAAGGATCGAGAGCAGCCTTGAAGAACCGCAGTAATGAAAAAAAAGGAACTCTTGTTGTACACGTGCGAAAGGAACCAGAACGCGCCGTGGGGGACAACAGAGGTGCACTCGCGCACTCAACTTGAGCAACGCATTTTGTTTTTTTCGCGTCGGGGTTGTACCACGTGGGGATGGCGTAAGATAGTTGAAATGTGAGGCGGCTCCAGTTTTGCGATGGGATAGGGGCCATACGGCTTTGAATCGCCGGCAGCAATGACCTAGGAGGGGCTACGAGGTGGGCCAACATGGAGAGGGCGGTAGGGCGCCCGTACGGGCAGACAACGCTTGGTCAACCGGACCGCCGTGTTAGTTCCAAGGGGAGTTGAGAAATGAGCACGACTCACTTCTGCGGGCAACGGCCTCCTGGACAGCCTTGTGCAAGGTTTGCGCGGCGGGCATGTCTGGGTCCATCCTCAGAACGATCTCCACCATACTGCGGCACTCTTCGTATCGTCCCATCCTGCCAACCAGAAGTCGGCAAGGGCAAAGAGACGAGGTTGACAACAGACAAAGAAGAGAAAATGCCTTAGGGTCCAACCGTTGCCAAGCGCACGCAATACCTGTTGCAAGCTCGCCGGCTGTGTGAAGCATCGAGAAGGCATGGACTGCGCGACCATTCTTGCTTGCTTGCGTCCTTTCCAAATACAAAAGGTCGAGTCTCGAGGCGCGCGGCATCGGGCTTGGGATTGACCGCAACCTCTGAATAAACTGACGGCCGAGACAAGAAGGTGAAAGGACTACATGCGGTCTCTTCGTGCTGATGCACAACAGCAGGCTACAGGGTGCAATCCTGAACAAAAAAAAACTGGCGCTTTCTTCCTTGCTCGGTGGTGACCAGGCTTCTGTGCACGTGCAAACATCGCCGAGTTGCATACAACGAACAGCCGCACCCGCATCAGACGCGCGCAAATACAACCTGTGCATCGTTAATTTTCATGTACCTTTTGGGGTAAGTTTGCCTGCGACCACGGGAATCGACAGCGTCAACTTTTTGACTGTGTACTGGGTAGAGAGACTGTATTAATGTGAAGACAACAACAACAACATCAACAACAACAACAACAACAACAACAACAACAACAACAACAACAACAACAACAACAACAACAACATGTACATTGCAGCAGCAGCGACAACAACAGCAATTCGGGTTTGTATCAGCTAATTGAGGTGTTGGGGTGTTGATGTGTTGACGTGTTGATATTGCTCGTCGTCTCACCGGTACAGCGCAAGAGCCATGCTGTAGTAGCACTCCCCGACGTGGTAGCTGCTTTCAGCAAGACCTGGCACATCACGAGGGAATGGAAGGGAAGGAGGGCAACATCGAGGAGGAACGTTGAAGAAGGAAATGAGCACGTCCTACGTAACGGGACCCCGGCAGATGACTACCAAGCACACACAAACCGACACCCAGACAACCGTGCCATTGTTACAATAAAACAGCGAGTCTTTTTAGACAACGAATTCCGCAACATGGCCGCATCTATCAACCAAAAAGAGTGCAGATGTGGACCCTCGAAGCCCGCGTTTCATTGCTCCGCTGATATGCTTTCCTCCGTCCGTCCAATAGAGCGTTCGTCCTTATTCAGGAAGCAGACAAGCGCCCCCGCCCACGAGACAAGAACGTGTCTTCATGGTCCAGCCGACGGCACGGACTGCGCTTACAGTCGAACCATACACCCTTCCACACCGTCAACATAAACACGTACGGCAGTGGGCGATCACGGCGTAACCTGAGAGGGAGAGCCTTCGACCCATGGATACCATCACAACATGCACACGAGGGCCAACCCACCTTCCAACAGAGACATTCCCTCGCGATTCTTGTCGTGGGATCTGGTCTTGATTAGCGTAAGGGCGTACTGGAACTTGATGTCGAGGTTTGGCTCGTCCTTGTTGCTCTCCTGCAGCCACATGTCCCGCAATCTCTGTTGTTTCCGTGTTCGATGTTGTTTCAGTGTTCGAAAGCGAAACGGCGGACGAAACGCGCACACGCGGACGCCAGGTGCATTGAATCAGAATGGAGCGATGGGATACATCGGCTCGACTTTCGCACATGTAGTCTACTTGTCCTGATTATTTTTTTTTAGTCCTGAACAATCTTGGCATTTTCAACTTCCACGCTTGCCCCCTCCAAACCGCTGGACAGACAAAAAAGGAATTTTGCCCATTTTTTCTCGAGTTTTTCAAAACTCTGGTCTGATCCGTTCAACGGCAAGTACTCTATATGCGGGGTTTGCTTTTTTTTTTGTCGATACAAGTATGTTTCACCTAACGAGTCCATCTCTATTTGTAGAAACGAGTCGAAGATTAGCAATTAATCCATAGCGTCAGCGAAGGTTCTGTATTTCCACGATTTCCCGAACAGCACACAACGATATCTCCCCGGTGGCTCTTTGTTTCTTAGATCGACCAGCTGGGGTCAAAGGACGGCCTGCAGAAGGTCCAGTTTTCCAGTCTTTCGTCCGAGGGATCGGTGTCACTATTGGGAATTTATTGCGCACACAGCCGCACATACCAAAATGCGACGATGCCGGCCGATATATCGCAAACACCCGTGGAACCTTGGCACGAGCAAACTTCAGGAAAGAAAACGCCAGCAGCTTGCAACGAGCTTTAACCAATTAGAGGGAGGGCAGAGACACAGGTTGTGCAAACAACAACCTCTGCACATGCGGAACGATTCGCCGGCGTGAAGACCGTTCCGCGTTGCAAGAGAAGACACGAAATCACGCTTGGAAGGTTGGAACCCAAACGTAAGGTACGTCCATCATGCCTTTTGAATAGTTTGACGTCGACGTCACTCAGGTGGCGGCAAAGAGCAACGCACCGGAGGCGCGAACTCAGGAGCACCGAAGCAAAGTCCACTCCGCTGCTGGTGTATAGCGGCATTCTCGAACAAAACACAGCATGCAGGTTACACTGCTTTACACAACACACTCACAGGGCAGCTTGCTTCCGCAACGGGAGCCTCCGCCTTCAGCTGTTGGTCCAACAGCTCCGAGTTGAGCTTCGACGGCATGGCTGCTAGTGTTTTTTTCCCTGGTGGTAGAAGGCAGCGTCTAGGAGAAGCAGAGCAGTGCGGGCTCGGGAGCAGAGAGACACTCAAAGAACAAAAGAAATATGAAAAAAGGGGGGCGACGCCGAATGAATATTCGTCTTGGTTTCGGAGTGGCTTTCGACACGGAGAAATGGTGGGGAGGTGGGGCTAAAGTCGAGCCCCCCTTTTCCGTGGCTCTGGCTGGTGCTGGGAGCAGCTCCTCTCAGTGCCCTGGTCTGCGAGCTTCGTTGCGTGTGAGGCAAGATGGTGAAGCACAACAACGTCGTGCCGAACGGCCACTTCCACAAGAAGTGGCAGAGGAGGGTCCGGACATGGTTCGACCAGGTGAGAAGGCTGCAGCAGCAGCGAGCCCCGAGCATCAAAGGCAGGAGAGCTGTAAACCCCCCAAAACTTGCGCGACGAAAGGAATGGCTCCCCCATTGGGGGCGGCTGCGTGGCAGTGCTCTATAGCCAAGGGATTGAAAGAGAATCATCTCTGGGTATGACGTTCAGCATTGTGTCTTCTGTGCTTGCTTTATCGGAGAGGTTTGTGTCAAGATCGTACGAGAGTGCATATCTACCAAACTCGCGTGTGTGTGGCAAGCCATGGTTTGGGGAGCAGCGGGAGGGCAGGCCTGTGGCCGCCGCCGCTTGACTTGGAGCACCGCGGCTTCATGGAGGCACACGTGACAGCACTACTGTTGCCAGTGCCCGCAGTTGTTCAGGTCTTTCCGTCTTCCTCAGGAACCCCCGAACTTGACACGCTATGGATGTGAACGAATCTGTTGCTGTGTGCTCGCGTGTTCGACGACCGGAGGGCGGGGATATGGCAGTCCGATTCCCCTAGGCAGTACTTGCATTACAACGGAACTGCTGTAGCACACAACGACTCTTGGGATGCACACAGTTGCACTGTTGTACTTGTCCCTTGCTGTCGAGCTTCGTGTCACGTGGAGGATGTAACAACGGTACTTGACATACGTCGAACCGTTCAAAGCAGCGCCCGGTGTCTGGTATGCTCAAGTCTAGTGCACAGCAGTTGCTGTTGTGTTGATTTCGAGCGGTTGCATTAGATATCACACCCCCTGGACTGATTTTCAACACTCGATTATTCCACAACGAAGAAGATGCCCAAATTATCTGACTTCGGAAAGCCCTCGATAAGACGGAGAATCGCCGCCATTGTCGGCACCGCCTCTGCTTTTCCTGCCGAGAAATCGAGCTTCGAAAGTTGGTGCAAGGGGTGTTATATGTTGCGCGACCTACGGTGTGCGAGACGGACGCGGAAATGCGGCTTGCCGTTCCTTGGGTTGATTAGTGAGGTGCAATCACTCGATGTAGTTTCCTATGCAACAATCTTCGATGCCTGTCTTCAGAATGCAACGATAGCCCATATCTTTCTGGAAGTATGTTCCCAACGAGTTGCAAACGGCCCTACCGCTGTGAACACTGAAGCACCATGGCGCAAGTTTGTCACCACGAGCAAAGCAATCCCCCTTTGCTTCTGTGTCGAACGCTATTCCTGACGGTTTTCCGGGCAGGGGCACTACCTCAAGCTCGACGAAATTTGCTGGCTTTTGTTTCGCCGAACGTAGAGAACACTGGACTTGAGATACTGAGACATATTGCGCCCGTTTGATCAGACCAATCCTACGTCGCGCGTCTGAGTACGACAATGGAGTTTGAGCAACTTGGCCACGGTCTTTTCACGCACCTGCTGTGATCGGGTGACTCAACTCGTGAAGGTCGCTGTCGTAGATCCGGAAATCTGTTGGGCCGAGCTTTCCTTGTGCATATGCACACGGAAATACATGCTTGTTGTAACAAGCTTGACAACAGCAGGTGCGCATGGGCGAGCTCACAGCGTGAGAGATGCCAGAGTTCGAACGCTGGTACTGCTGTTGCCAATGGCAGAGGTCTGGCTTTGAGCCCGAGCTGCATCGTGCCTTAGGCTTGTTTTTGCAGCTCGTGGCCTCTGCCGATGGATAAGCAACATCGTGGAAGGATAATAGCACACTCACGAACGGTCTAGTTTTTCATGTGTTTGCGAAACCTCGCCCTTTCCTTTCCCCGCCTCCAAATTGTGTTTGTGTGCGTGATCGCCGGGTTGTTCCGTGTTTCCCAACTCGCTTTGACGGTTACACAGCCCGCCAAGAAGAAGGCGCGCCGCCAGGCTCGGCAGGAGAAGGCCGCGAAGATGGCGCCGCGCCCCACCCAGCTCCTCCGGCCGGCAGTGCACTGCCCCACGATCAAGGTGAGGGGTAGTGCTAACGTTATTTGTCGGGAGTATTGATGTATTCATCTCGTATCATCGGCCCAGTCTGCCCGGGCCTTTAGTCACGCAGAACGGTAGGAAGTGAGTCGAAAAGTTTGCTTTTGCGGGCTTCGGGGGCACTCGCGGTCCCAACCAATTTGGTCTCTCGAAAAGTCAGACTGCTGTTTGAGCGTGCAGCGCTGCTGATGCACCTGAGGATACACCGTACCCTTTGAACGGCTGTTGGAAAGGTGTCATCCAAAACGTTCCTGAAGCAGAGCCCCCGGTATACTGCACACACTGCGTGAGGGAACGGTATTTGATCCTACAATCGTGTCGGGTACGCGTGCGTCCTTGGGTGTGTTTGGAACGCTCTCAACAACTCAATACGACCAGTGGCAAGAAGTTGGAGATGGCGGGTGGTGCTCCACGCCACCTAGCTGGCGTGAGTCTGCGCAATCAGCGTTGACATAAAAGAAAGGTTTGCGTGCTCATGATACACGTTGCTCTTGAAGGTGTGGCGAATCAGAAATTGGTGTTCTCCCGCTGTGTTTCGTGTGCCGCCGTGCCATAGACGTCAGATTTGCTCCGTAGCACCCCCGAAAGAGTCACGGGGGCGGCGTGAGTGAGAAATTCAACTACACTGTCCCCGGTGTCGATATCGCCGGGGTTTAGCATTGGGCATTCCGGGTAGCGGTCGTGTGCGCCGGTGGTTGGTTGCCCTGGCTGTAGGCAACCCACCCTGCCCGCCGCCAAGACGTGTCCCGTCGGCATGGTGGTTTTGGCAAGCTATCTTCCCACCTCCCGCTCGGCACCCGCGAGGCGTGTTTTACACATGATGTGTCGCGTTGGTCTTCGGCGCTCCCTGCCGCGTGAATCGAACACGCCCGTGGTGTAGGCGTTGACAACAGCCCGTGCAGAGAATTCGACCAGGAGGTTCATGGGAGGAGGATTTGCGTGTTGTCGGTTTATCGCGTTGCTCACCTCGCTTCTCTTTTTCTTGAGTCCCTTCCCCTCCCAGACCGCTGCCGTTTGTGTTCTGTACCCCCGTTCGTCATGGTCGTATTCTCTACGTGGTCCCGATTTTGCTCTCTTGGCATCGACGATTGATGTTGCAGTTTACGGCCGTGATTAAGAGGCATCGGCTCAAATTTTGGCGATAGACGAGAAAATCGACCGAGAAACACACAGTGGCTGCGGACCCTGCACCCAGCTCTATATAATGATCTACTGCATATGATGTGCTCGGCGGTGGTGACGAAATAAGAAAATGAGCCTCGACCCCGAGCTACCGACGGGCGCTAACCGCTGCGTACCTCTTGTGTTTTTGTTTGCAGTACAACTCCAAGGTCCGTCTTGGGCGCGGCTTCAACGTGGAGGAGCTCAAGGAGGCGGGCATCTCCAAGAAGATGGCGCTCACCATCGGTATCGCCGTCGACCACCGCCGCACCAACAAGTCGGTGAGTGGAGGTAGAGATGTAGTGATGCTGTTGTACTGCGATGTGAGTGGAGAGGTGTTTGTGATGTTTCGCGCGGTGAGTGGAGAGATGTTTCACGTTCAAGCCGTGAAGAAGGGAAACGCAAGCCGGAAGTAACTGGGGCTAGACATAACGCCCGCTGCTCTGTCATTGAGCTGTTACCGAAAAAGGATTGCTGGCTGTTTCCAACCTTGTTTCGTCTCCCAACGCTCTTGCCAGACTTTGTCGCGTGGTGTTTGTGCATGAAAAAAGTTGTGCGAGAGAAATGGTGAGCGCTTTATTCGGGTGCAAATTTGTGCTTGGTTTTGTCTCTTGCAGGAGGAGTCGTTCGCGGCTAACGTGGCTCGCCTGAAGGAGTACCGCGCCAACCTCATCATCTTCCCCCGCGGCAGCAAGCACCTGCCCAAGAAGGGAGACTCGTCGCTCGAGGAGCAGAAGGCCGCCACGCAGGTGGGAAGAACAGAAGTAGAGCAGGCTTGTGTGTGTACCGCCCCCACAGCTCGCTGGCGTGAGCTGCTGCCCCCCAGCAAGTATCGACAAGAGAATTGAGAACGATGAAAACCACCAAGAGTCACCATATTAAGTGGCGTTTGTTTGCGTAGAGCTGCTGCCCCTCAGCGCCTATTGTAGCATGGAGGGAAGGTGCACGACGAAGGCAAGGTTTGTGTCAGGGTTGGTTTGGGTCCCATCCCCGAGGTAACATCTCCGAGCATGCAATACAGACCCGAGGCTCAAGGGTTCCAGATCCATGGCAGTTTCCTGGCCCGGCAGGCATGCTTGTCTGTATTCTGGCACCAGCCCGACTCGTGTACGTGTGCCAAGGCGGCGCCCTACGTTTCTTGAAATATTTTCTTTTGTTCCCCTTAAGCCGTCGTGGCCATGTGTCTTCTCTCTCAGTGCGTGGGCGTCTTTTGTGTTGTTCACCTCTTTGTTGTGCCCTTGCTCCGTGAAAACCTGCTTATCTGTTGCCAGGTTACCGGAGTTACCATGCCCCTCGTCAAGGCCGACAAGCCCGTCGAGTTCCTCCCCGTAACCGCGGTAAGTTTTCCCTGCCCGTTTTGTTTCCCGGGGTTTGTTGCTTATCTCATCTCACGGATACGGTGGCACTAGGGTAGACTGTTCTGAAGAAAGAAAGTACGTCCGTACTAGCACATCTTGAAGCGTGAAGCAGAGCAAAGAACTTCGAGGTTTACGGTTCGGAAACGCGAGGACGCTCACGTCTCGCATCTCGATGTTCAGTCACGTTGATCCGTGCATCGTGTGGCCTGTTTTCTCGACCGGGTGTCGCATGCGTACGTTTGGAGCGTTGTGTATCGTGAACGTCATCAGTCCAAAACTGCCCAATATGTCGACCCCGATTAAAAGAAGTAACAGGGATTTATGAGAATACTGAACGGATCTGGTTCGTGTAGGGACCTTTTTTTCCTGTTTTAGGCTCTTTGCCCCCCATGGTTGCCGTACCCTCTGCCCCTGCCCCTCGGAACACATGTACGGTACGCTGCGCTCCCCGTCCACCGCGCTCCTAAGTTCGACGTAGGCTGCGGGTGCGTGTTTTCGCTTTTACACCCCGACCCTCGACGAATCGTCCTCTCAACGATGTGCTGCCCTCTCTCGACCCCATGCTCAAAAAAAAATACGTCCAACAGGAAATGACCGCAACCAGCGTCCACAGCGAGAGGCGCGTGGCCCGCAACGAGCTCAAGTTGGCCGGAATCCGCATCCGCCAAAAGGAGGAGAAGACCAAGAAGTAGACGGAGCAAACTTGTCATGATTCTTTCGAGGAAAAATACCGCGTGGGAATTCCGTCTCTGAAAAAGCTGGGAGGGGTTTCGAACTGGTCTTTTTATTTCGGGAAATCGGGGCCGGGCGGCTTGCGCTGTTGGTTTTTCACGGCCTTCACGCGCTTGTTGGCCGGGCCTGCTGCTTGAGTTACGAGGTTTTTTGGTGACTGTTGCGGCGGGTCTTCGCGTTTTCGGGGCACTTAAAAAATAAAATGAACAAAAACGAAATATTGTTTGCTTCTGTTGCCTTGGCTGCATACGGTGCTAAAATAGTTCAGAGATGCATAAGTACGCGGCACATGATTCACGCGAGGGTCCTTATCGCAACAACAACCACCCCTCACCAGCGAAATATATCATGACAAAGGGAGCCGTTGTGCGTTGTTCAGGGCTCCCCCCGCCGCACGGGCAGACTTGTGACAAATTCCCCAAGACGCCATGGCGATTGCGCGTGGGGGGCACCTTTCAGCGTCTACTTCATATCCCCCGCCCTTGTCTGTCCGCCGTTTTTGGAAATGAGGCGTGAACCCCCAGTGCGGTGTGTGACAAAGGAAGGTCGATCTGCGTTTTGCTCTCGGGAAGATTTCCTTACGACCTCTTTCACGGAACAACCGCCTTGAAACTCCTCCTGCCTTCCTCTGCCCACAAAAACTTGCCGACCGCTACACTACCCTTTGACATTACACCCTTGACCATGGTCGATTTCGCGCGTTGCGTGGTGTTGAATGCGGTGCAATGTACAAGTAGGCGTCCGCCAGTGAGCTGTGCAGACAGCATTCAAACACCCAAATTCGGGCTGATGCAAACGACACTTGAGCACGCACCGTGCTTGTTAGGCGTCAATAATGGTTGACAGCCGAAGTGCCTCAAATCAGGCAAAGCGGTCATGGATCCTCGCGTGGGTTTGACTACCCTGCAGTCTGCAGCACAGCGGATTCCAAAGTAACCCAGCAGAGGAAGCAAATCCCGTCTTACTGCAAGACACCGGTGAAGTGCGGACAGGCATGGTACACTATTGTTCTCCGATTGCTAGCACAGTTGCCGGTTGCCTGATTGCATATGCGGAGCGGGTCTTCACGAGCTCGGCCGCAAGCAAAATTGATCCCAACCGCTAGTTGACGACCGCAGGAACCGTACAGGGGAAAAGAGAAAATCGTCGCAAACGAAAATTCCGAACGCATCAAGTTGGCTCATTCCAAGGCGACTAACAATCGACTTGGTTTATTCCCAGTAACAACCTCGTTCTATGGCGCCTCGAGAAGGACAGGAGGCATAGCCCCTCGTGGCCACGGGGGGCTCGAGAGCCCTTGACCCCCTTCGCAAGCCCCGAGCGCCAGCCCTGCTCCGCCCACCCGGAGCCGTCCGGCTATTCCAGCCGCCAGGCGCAACAGGAAGCCGCGGAACGACAGGAACGCCCAGGTCCACCTGCCTTTCAATGTCGTTGTTCTTGTTGGCAGTGGTGGGTGTTTGCGGAGGCGGTGTTGCCTCAGGTATGCGTCATCTCTCAAGAACAATCAAGTAGTGACTGCATCCATCGAGCGAGGGAACATCCGCTGTAACGACACCAACAATCTCCGCACCAGTAGTAGGATTTTAATCAGTAGACTGTAGCAACAAACACCTCCGAGAAGAAAGGAGGTGTTCTCGTGCCGTGCCCAAAGAGGCAAACATCGTTGCAATATCACCTGCAAGTTCTGTTGAGCTGGGTCAAAGAAAAGGGTCGGTCCACACTCCTGCGGTTCGCGTTGGTTTGACCCGTCATGACTCCATTTATCTCTCCGTCAACCTCGTCTGCCTCGCCAAGGCCCACGGGCGGCGCTGTCTCCATGCTGAGCTTTTAACCCAAAGCCAAACAAGGTGCAGCAAAGCCTGCGTTCGAGCGCATAGCAGCTACGTCCATACCTCTCGCGTCTATCCGGCGGGGTCCAATCCAGCGGGGGTAGCTGGCCGGCCTCCCTCGCGCTAGACATGCGCCGACCAAGCTCGCCGTTCTTGCTGCTGTCGCCACATCTCATACCCTGACACCGACGAGAGCAGCAGCATCCATCGCAGACGAACAACGACAAAGGCGCGCAAACCCAAAAGCCCGTGACAACAGGTTGCCTGCGGCTTGGTGCAAGGCCGCCAGTCAAAACAAGAAAACACCACATCCCTTTCGACTGAGGTTATATCTCGAACGGGTAGTCTTTCTGTGAGGTTGTCTTCACTTGTTTACTTTCTACAAAATACCTCAGGCACCGGCCAATCGGAGAAACGTGTGCGGAGTTCGGCGTTCAAATATTGTACTGTGCTCACGTGTAGTGTATCAAGAAAAAACGAAACTTTCTGTGAGGTTGTCTTCACTTGTTGACTTTCTACAAAATACCTCAGGCACCGACCAATCGGAGAAACGTGTGCGGAGTTCGGCGTTCAAATATTGTACTGTGCTCACGTGTAGTGTATCAAGAAAAAACCAAACAATGGAAAACAACAAGATCCACGTATCTACCATGCCGCGGCAGCAACCACGACAACCGACCAGCAAGAAACCGAACGGCAGCACACCGCCGCCGCCGCCCCGGACAATTCCATCGCCGGTGTGCTTTGATGACTACACGTCCGTTCTCCCACCACCCCTTTGTCTACTCAGTTCGACTCACCAAGAAGCAGGCTCGAACGACGTCGGCGTGCCGGCCCTGCGCCTCGAACGTCGCCGACAGTCGGGCGAAACCGGCCGCCACCCTCGGCCGCAAGCACACCCCGACCCCCGCATCTACGACCGCCTTCCGAGGGTTTCCGGCCCTCTCCCACGACTGAGACCTCCCCCAGTAAAGCGAGGCATCTGCCGGTCTTAATCGAATGGCCTTGCTAAACCTGGACGAGGGGAGGGGTTGCAATTATTGGTTGTGCTGGTGCGGGATGCAGGCGAGCATGTCGGATATTCAGAGTCCCCCCTAGTTTTACACCTGCTTCGATTCCGCACTGCGGTGCATGTGATCCACTTGTTTGGGGGTGGTTCGATTCCGCACTACATAAGATTCAAGTTCAATTGTTAGGGGGTGGTAATTGCTCCCTGTCGTCACCCCCAACCCCCTCTCGGCCTCTCGCCCCCTCCTATCTTATCCTACCAATGGCAGCTACTCCCTCCGCCTAAGTCAGCACACTGCTTTCGCACATCTCGCTCCCCGCTCCCGTTTTCGTCGCTTGGCAACGACGTTGTAAAACAAGCCAATTCACTTTGTGAACTCGGCAACCAGGATACCGTTTTTTTACCTCTGTTTTTTTTCTTTGGCAGTAATCATAATGGTGGTCGAGTAGATCATGTTGTGCGGGGTGGAGAACCCTCACTCCGCGCAAGGGGGATGATCGCACCACGTCGTGTCAAAATGGTCAAGCACCCTCGAGACAGTTACACAGTGCTTACAACTAACTCTGGAAGTGAATGCACCAGAAAATAAATTAAGTCATACGCAGCCGTCATCCGTATGCAAGGAAGTAAGCACAAGACGCCAAACACACTTAGCAGGATGCAGCGCAACTTTCATGCGACTCGCCGAATATCTCACGGCGCTTCGCGCTTGGTGATGTGAGAGCCTGGTCCGGTGAGAACCCGGCGTGCTCCGTCCCGGCTTTGTAGGGGTGCGAGGTCAATCGTCTAACGACTCCGGCATGCACGACTATGAGTACACCCTCCCCCCTCCCCCTATCTGGGTTGGGTTTTCGTCGCTTGGCAACGACGTTGTAAAACAAGCCGCCGCCCCCCCGGTGTTTGCCATCGGGGTTGGGTTTTCGTCGCTTGGCAACGACGTTGTAAAACAAGCCGCCGCCCCCCCGGTGTTTGCCATCGGGGTTGGGTTTTCGTCGCTTGGCAACGACGTTGTAAAACAAGCCGCCGCCCCCCCGGTGTTTGCCATCGGGGTTGGGTTTTCGTCGCTTGGCAACGACGTTGTAAAACAAGCCAATTCACTTCGTGAACTCGGCAACCAGGGTACCGGGCTTTTTTTTTTAACGTCCGTTTTTTTTTTGGCGGTAACCATAATCGGGCTTGCGTACCCTTTTGTTGCAAATAGTGTGTGTGTTCTTTACATCTTCTGATGGCTCTAGCATTTTTGTGACCACGGACCGAGTCTTTGCTATATTTTGGGATTAGCAACTGACACGAGTTTAATGTGAAGTAAAACAACAAACAACAATAATGGTGGTCAAGTAGATCATGTTGTGCGGGGTCGAGAACCCTAACTCCGCGCAAAGGGGATGACCGCACCACGTTGTGTTAAAATGGTCAAGCACCCTCGAGGCAGTTACACAGTGCTTACAGCTGTCTCAGGAAGTGAAAGCATCAGAAAAATAAATCATACGCGGCTGTCATCTGTACGCAAGGAAGTAAGCACAAGATGACGAGCACCCTTAGCAGGATGCAGCGCACCCTTCATGCGACTCGCCGAATGTCTCACGGCGCTCCGCGCTTGGTGATGTGAGAGGCTGGTCCGGTGAGAACCCGGCGTGCTCCGTCACGGCTTTGTAGGGATGCGAGGTCAATGGTCTAACGGCTACGGCATGCACGACTATGAGTACACCCCCGCCCTCCCGTTCGTTCCGTCAAAACCCATGAGGTTTTATAGCAGCCGAAATCAGGCCAGCAGACCAGGCAACGCTGACTGCTCTCTGTAGTCTAATGGTTTGGTTTCTGTCGCGATAGCAGTGCTTCTTGGGTACGGCAGGTTCCTTGGTTGACACGGAGCGCCTGCGTTGTTCTCCCGTCGTAAAAAAAAGCACGACCGCTCACAAGGGACACCCACCCATGTAGCTACCGCACAGAGTCTCCCGCACAGCAGAGAGGCAGCACCACAGCGCACGCCCTACGGGACACGTACGATATCTACATTGCGGCATTTTGTTCGATGTGAAATCACCCATTTCCATTAGGCTGGTCGCCCCCTTGGTCTAGTGATCAACAACTACAGTACCACTGCTGTATGCAGTAACCTCGAAGACCACAAGCTTGTGGATTTGTGTGCTGTTCGTAGACTATTCCGTCAAGATTGTTTTCTAGGGAGTTAAAACGCCTCCGGAACCCTTGTCTACTCTACGTCGAGAGAACGTTGGTGGGGACAACGTACGTGCGAACAAAGCACACATCCAATGGCGATGCAGATTTTTCAGTGCTGTGTCTTGCGTTGGCTTAGCGCAGTGGCTGTCATGTTTCTCAGTTAGACTACCGATTATTCCGAACCGCGGACCTTGGTCTACTGCTGCTGTATTGGACATTTTGAATCAGGTGTCACAATACGCACGCTCACCACTCCACGGACAGCTCAGCCTTTCCTTCTTTCAGCAGCTTCACGGCTTTGTCACGGCAGAGATTTGGGTCCTTGGTAGCGAGCTGAAGCTCTACCACCTCCTTGCTGAATACCATGGCGTCAAGGCGGGAATGGTGTGAGGTATGTGTGAGTGGAACTTGGAAGTAAGGAAAGGGGCTCCGCGGAATGATGGTTCGGAAATGGTTTGAAAATGATTCGGAAAATGGTTCGGAAAACGCTTCAATAGTGTGGGATGTGGGATTGCGTGTTTGCTCCCTAACTTGCCAGGCGATTCTGGAGGGTCCATAACGCACCTCAGATGTCGGAGGTCGACCTTGTAGGTACACATTGATGAGTAAAAACATCGAAATGAGCCGTGGGCCAAACTCCCCTTCAACATTAAACATTCTCAGCGAGAGGTACTAACTGCAAGTACAAGTTCAACAGCGAAAATGTCATGTCCTCTGCGTGTTTGTAGTCGGGCGTTGTTTAGCGTTGGTTCTAACGGCCAATTCCTCTCCAGCGCTCTCTCCCCGTTCCGCACAACACGGATGTGTGCGGTTGACTATTCGGGGTCCCCAGCAATGTTTGAATTTCATTGCTTGGAAGACAGAATTCATTGCTCTTGCGTATCGCCACCCCCGTACCACCACTTAGGGGGGGGGGGGGCTGCCCGACGCCATGACAATGGTTGAACGCACCGTTGGTTGGAGGTTGGTCTATTCTTTAAGCATACAAGCCCTCCACATCACAACGCGTACTTATGACGTGCAGGACGACGACTTATTGAGGGCGGTAGCGCGGGAGAATGCCAACGCCAAAAGCACGCCAATTGAAGAAGAAAAGCCTCACGATCTTTTTTTTTCCAGAGGCACGGACAGCAGCGGAGTGCGCGGCAGTATGTCATTGTACCGTACGAGTCCGAGCAGCTCGCGGCGATTTGTGGTGCGCGCAACCGTCCCTTGGCATTGCCTCAGGACCACGGTGCCACCAAAACTTGGGTTTCTGAAGCGTCATGACATACTATAGCATTTTCATATTTTAAAGTGAACAAGCATATAGACGATGTATATCCCAGCAATAGGTGGTTTCGGCCCCAAGTCATTCATTTCTACCCCAGCAAACAGACGCCCAACACCAAACACTTACAATACACCCAGTACGAAATGCAGTGCACAGCAGTTACTATAGCAAGCGCCCGGTGTCTGATTGGGGAGCATGATCTATCTCCCCTCAACGTCATCACGTTTCTAAAAGGCGCGAACTACAACTAGAGCCGGCACCATGTTGTTACAGCACAGAGAGTGTGAAATCTACGCCCGAGAGCTAGCGAATGATTGCACCGCCATCTACTCCTCTTCCTCCATGTCCACTGTTTCCGCCCTTGGAGGAATCTGCAAAAAAAAAAAAAGTGACATGCAAAAAAAAACATGAAGGTTCGTCATTTTCGGTGATGTTTCAGACCTCATAATGACAACGAAATGGCAGATACGACATGTGAAAAGGTACAGGGGGCACGACGGGGGGCGAGCATCCGTGCTCAAAAGCAACACGCGGATTTAGTTACAAGACACGACAAGCAAATAAACGGCCAATCGTACATACTGCCTAACACGTCTGCAACAGTTCCCTGAGATCGTGATTCGACGTATACACATGCAACAAACATAAACATGTCGAATGCCTAGCAAACGCACAAAAAACATTGTTTCGTGCCGCGATGGCTAAATGCACGCAACACGTGTCGCGCGGTTCCCGACATGGTTGTACCCTGTTTCGGTCAGAACAGACGAAACACGCCGAGCACACACCTTGTTCCGGATAAAGAACTTGTCCCCCAGGTGCGCCGAGTCAACGAGGGGTGTCCAGTGTACCTTACTCGGGTCCACTCGGGGCTCCTTGATGGGATACTTGGCTGCGAGGGTGCTCAGCGTCGCCTGGCCCCCCGAAAACACAGCACGATCAAGGCGGCAAGGGTGGAGGCACGAAATCAGTGGGGAGGTGCAAAGCCTTGCCGCGATTGGATGCTTTGGGGTCGGTTTGTTATTTTCTTAGCTTGCTGTTTGCACGCTTCGTGTTGTTTCGAGTCTGCATACACCACAGGAAATTCGAGGGTTTAATGGCCACTGGATGGGATGATACAGAATTGCGGTTTATCTATCGGGAAGGGATCGGAACGGGCAAAAACCAAACAAAAACAAAAACAAAAACAAAAACAACAACGCGGCAGCAGCCAGGCGGACTGCGTCCCTCACCGGTGTGGCGATGATGCGGTGCTCTCCGTCGGCGTACTTGAGCATGCCGAGGCGAGTCATCGTGTCTATCACGTCCTCCGCGATAATCGAAGTTGCCTTCGACACGTCCACGATCGCCAGCTCGCGCCCCTTGCCATGGCGGGGATACGGGCGCATCGCAAACAAAATAAATACAAAATAAATAGAAACGTCAAAGAAACACTTCTATTCCACACTTTCTCCGAACATCTTGTCGGTTATACAGTTATGGCGGAAAATACCTGGCGAACAGGTGAAAAGGCGGATTTTCAACTCCAAGGGCACAAAGTGGGCTGGAAGAGTCGAACGATTATAATACTCTGGCGCTCTTGCCCTTGTCGCGGCTCACCTCGAAGGATTGCATCGCCTGGATGATGACGCTGGCCCAGTACGATCGGTACGCTGCCGCGCCCAAGTCCGACAGAGGCTTCTCGGGACTGCCGACCTTCTCCTCCTGCCAAGCGACAAGACCAAGCACGGCATCGAAAGACAAGAATAAAGAAGAAAACCTTGAGCATGCGAAGACGTTTGCATCCCCATTATTGAAAACTGAAAACACCCAAAACAACAACGAGGAAAGCAAACAAGGAGCAAAACGGAAAGGCGAACATATATGGTGGAATTGTGAGTAGTATTGTGAGCTAGCCGTGCAATCCGTCGAATCGCGTGCGCCGTGAACAACGATATCACTTCTCGTTTCGCACGGCCCTCTGCACGAGCCCGAGACCAGCTAGCTCTTGCGACAGGCCGGTGACTTCGACGTTGCGCTGGGTGGTGCAACGTCAGTGCCAACTCACACCCCACCTCCAAGCTACAGCATCGCTAAATTTGCAGCTGTCCGCGGAGCTTAGTGCTGCTGAGTACAACCCATGCCAAGACAAGAACATCCACCGCCTAAAAAGAAACGGCCCACGGCAACACAACGAGAGAATGCCAAGCACCAATGTACACCATAACTTGCCAGACTAATTGCACGACGACTGTTGTCGCGTGTCCGAGAAATTCCAACACATGAGATTCCCAAAACCTGGATCTTACGTACGTACAAAAGAGGACACAGCCACGATCGCCGTCGTCGGCCCTTCGGCAAAATACACGCCGGGACTCCTGGTTGATCTCCTTCAAAATGAAAAGAATAAGGATATTATACACCAACGCAAGGACGTCGAAATCATAGCCCACAAGCACCACCGGTCGTTAAAACACAAAACACACACCAAACACACACGGAGGCCGTACGTGCACGCCCACACCGAACCTTCCAAAGTTCAGCCGAGAAGATGACGTCAAGCACAGCCAGCAATCGTGGTTGACCCTGAAACACACACACAAGAGGACAAGGGGCACAACCACACGCACAAAACGCACCTTCTTGCTGAGCTCGTACGAGAAGGCGATGAGAACCCTTCCGTAGCCCTTCCGCTGGTAGGACGGGAACGTCAGGATGCACGCCAGGTTGTACCCGAGGTCGGAGTACTTCTCCTTGCTGAAGTAGCCCACCGGGTGGAAACCGAAGCTGTCCACCTGTGCTTCCGGGGCGTGCAGCACAGACCGAAAAATCTCCATCAAGAAATTTCTTAGTTGATGTTGTTTGTTGTTGTTGTTCTTGCTGCCTTCACAAAAAAAAAAACGGCCCGGTCTCCGCTCAGTACCTAACATCCATCTGGCAACTTTTTTTCTTTACACACACCAAACACCTCAGCGCAAGGCGGTTGCTGAGATGCCTCCGTCGTCGTCGCCGTTTCTGAAACCTCGCCGGAGCACGATGAAACATATATTTCGCTGCTCTTCCGCTGGAGCGATTTCCCGGGCTGGAACCGACTTCACCCTTCACCCGCCCCCCACTCGTCTATTCCTGGTGCGGTGAGAACCCGGCATACTCTGTCCCGGCTTTTTTGGATGCGAGGTAAATGTTCGAACGACAACAGCATGCACGACTATGAGTACGCTCCCCCCCCCACTCGTCCATTCACTCGCTCGCTCACTCACTACGCGGGGCGGTCATCGATCAACCACAACAACGACGACGACGGCGACCACAACAGCAACAATTGCATCAACGCGGACTGACCTCGCACAGGACGTAGAAGAGGAAGGGATCTACGTCGTAGTACAAGGTCTTGTGGTCCAAGAATAGCTTGGCCAGGGAGCACAGGTTCTGGCCGTACTCCTTCTGTTCCCCCCCGTCCACCTCGAACATGGCGAGGTTGTCGTTGCGGTAGATCTGCTCTCTCCAGCACCGACGGAAGGTGGAGGCAAGGGCATGGGAGGGACAGAACATGCACACGATAACAAACAACGCAAAAAAATGAGAGAGGCTTACCATGTGGATGGAGTTGTAAACAGATCAAAAGGCCACGAACAAGAGAGGAACGAAGGAAGGAGGGAGACGATCAAAGGCGAAAGAGGCAAACGGAGAGAAAGGGACAATCCTCTTGGCTTCCGCCGGTTTGCGGGTTGGTGGTGAACCGTCTGCTACAGGTCGTAAAGTCCGAAGCGGAACAAACCCAAAATGTACATACGAAACGGGTATTCGTACACAAAGACACACCTTGATGAAGTCATTATGAGAACGAGGGTGGGGGATGTACTCATAGTCATGCATACCGCAGTCGTTAGGGCATTGACCTGGCATCCCCAGATATCCGGGACGGGGCACGCAGGATTCTACCCGGACCAGGCTCTCACATCACCAAGGGCGAAGCGCGGTGAGGTATAGGCGGGGGGGGGGGTACTCATAGTCGTGCATGCCGTAGTCGTTAGACCATTGACCTCGCA